AAAAAAATACTGATGCCTACTCATCGACCCCTCCGTCGGCCAACCCTCCCGAAACGTCGTCAGTCTTAGGGGTGGTAAACGAGTTGAAACGGCTCGTGAACTTGACAAATTGATTCGACACAAGCTCGAACTCAAGCTCGGGTTTTTCCGAGCTCGAGCTCGAGTTCAATTCTAATTGTTCGCTCGCGAGCTTCTTATTTATTTTTATTTTATCTACTATACAATAAAAATGTTGTTATTATTATTATTACTAGCATTTTTCCCCGTACGATGCATGGGATATTATTTAAATAGTGAAAAAAAATAATCAATTTAATACAAAATAAGAAAATATAGTATACTAATATTGTAAAATTTAATGATGTAGTATTATTCATATTTTATATAATATTAGTTTTTTTAAATCTTACATATTAAGATTTATAATCCAAATAAATAGACTAAAATTTAACAAATCGAATATCTAGCTTTATCTCTTAATAATTGTTGAAAATTAGTTCCGAAAAAATATTAAAAATAAATAATTACATAAGTAGCAATAAGGTAGGATTCTTCACGGGTTAGTTTTAATTTTGATAATTGTTAAAAATTATAGTTAGAAATTAGCTAGTAGAGAAAAAATATTAAAAATAAACAATTACAGAAATACCATTAGGGTTTTTTAGGGTTACCCAGCGTTTCTTTCTTTTATATATAAGATTATTATTATTATTATTATTATTATTATTATTATTATTATTATTATTATTATTATTATTATTATTATTATTATTATTATTATTATTATTATTATTATTATTATTATTATTATTATTATTATTATTATTATTATTATTATTATTATTATTATTATTATTATTATTATTATTATTATTATTATTATTATTATTATTATTATTATTATTATTATTATTATTATTATTATTATTATTATTATTATTATTATTATTATTATTATTATTATTTAAAGCTCGAGTTGATCTCGAGCCTATCAAAATAGGCTAGTTCGGCTTGTTCACATCCCTAATCGGTCCATCTTATTGGAGATATAATATCTCCAATACGCCCCTCAAGTGCAAGCGAATTACATTTGTATATTAAATGATACATTTCACTAAAAGCTTAAGTTTTTGGTTGAGATGGTCATTCAACATGGTATCAGAGGCATGCCAAATGAAAAGTCCTGAGTTCGAATCCCACAGCCACCCATTTAAAATAATATTTTCAGTGCAAGACTTCAAATGTAATTCGCCTGCACTTGAGGGGGCATGTTGAAGATATTAATATTAAATGATACATTTGATTTCACTGACAACTTAAGTTTTTGGTTGAGATGGTCATTCAACATGGTATCAGAGGCATGCCAAATGAAAAGTCCTGAGTTCGAATCCCACAGCCACCCATTTAAAATAATATTTTCAGTGCAAGACTTCAAATGTAATTCGCCTGCACTTGAGGGGGCATGTTGAAGATATTAATATTAAATGATACATTTGATTTCACTGACAACTTAAGTTTTTGGTTGAGATGGTCATTCAACATGGTATCAGAGATAGGCCAAATGAATAATCCTGAGTTCGAATCCCATACCCACCCAATTAAAAAAATATCTCAAGAAAATATCTCACGTGCAAGGCTTCAAATGTAATTCCTTTGCAGTTAAAGGGGCGAATTGGAGATATTATTATTAAATTATACATTCCACTAAAAGCTTAAGCTTTTGGTTGAAATGATCATTCAACACATCTCACCTATATGTTTAAATATATAGGTAGTTTCACATTATATTTATTCAATTTTTAATTAAAGAATAAAAGGATGGGTTCGTGTTGTTCCACACGAACCCAGTGCATTGAATTCATGTCGATCAACACAAACTCAACAAAATAATGTTGAGTTCATGTCGAACAGCAAATAAAAAATAAATATTTTTTATTTATTTTTTTTATAAAAATATTATGTGACGTAAGATATTATTTCTTCATATTTTTTGTAAGGGATGGCTAGAATTAATACCACTTCTTACTTTAATACCACCAAAAAATAATTAAATAATAAATAGTTAATGATATAAATATCTTTAATAAAAATCAAAACCAAAAATATATACAATAATACTAAATCTCATTTTTTTTTCTTCAATACCAAACACACAAGCCCTCTCAAACACATTTCAAAAAAATCTTCTAAAAAATCTAATACAACTTGCAAAATGGAGTCAAATGACAATAAAATGGTAGATAACCCATTAAGGTATGTATCCATGTCTTTTTTTGAGCTTAAAAGTCGATTTTGAAGATTTTTTTTTCTAAACCCGCCATAGATTTTCGACACATACAGGTCGAATTTTTGGTCAATTTTCGACACCAACTTGTCGAAAATTGTATTAAAAAAAATAAAAAAACCAAATTCAAAATTTTGACATGTATATGTCGAAAAAAACACTGCAAAAAAAAAAAGAAAAAAAAAATTTCTAGCAATGTTTTTTTGACACATACATGTCGAAATTTCGACAAATATGTGTCAAAATTGGTTTTTTTTTTTTCTAAATACAATTTTTGACAAATTGGTGTTGAAAATTGATCAAAAATTAAACCTGTATGTGTTCAAAATTGTAGGCGAATTTAAAAAAAAAAAAAAACTAAAAAATCGACTTTAAAGTTCAAAAAAGACATGAATACATACTTTAATGAGTCCTCCTTCCATGTAAACCACCATTTTATTGTCTTGTGACTCCATTTTATAAGTTTTGTGAGGTTTGATTTTTTTTTAATTTTGAGATTTTTTGGAGAGTTTTTAAGAAGATGAAGAAGAAGAGAGGGTTGGGTTTGGTTTTGGGTTCGGGGGAGAAAAATAGAGGGTTTGGGTTTGAGGGAGAAGAAGAGAGTTTTTTAATTTCTTAACTTTTGGTATTGAAATTAGGAAAAAATATATTTGTTTTGTATAAATTGTATTTTGTTTGATGAGGGATATTTTAGTACTTTGCTATTAAAGAAAATTATTTGTGGTATTAATCTAAGAAAAAAATGTAACAACTTCTCTAAATATATGGTATTAAATTTGGTGGTATTGAAGTGAGAAAATTTTGGTATTAGTTCTAGCCACCCAGTACAAATAGTTACTATCAAGAATTAAAATATACTAGCATTTTTCGCCCCGTGCGATGCACGAAATATTATTTAAATAGAGAAAAAAATAGTAATCAATTTAATACATAATAAGAAAATACAGTACACTAATATAGTAAAAATTAATAATGTAATATTATTCATATTTTATATACATTAGTTTTTTTAAATCTTACATATTAAGATTTATAATCCAAATAAATAGACTAAGATTTAACAAATCGAATTTCTAGCTTTATCTCTTAAGATTCGAGATGCATTGATGAAAAATAGGAGATTAATAATTATTGAAAATTATAGTTAATAAATTAGTACAGAAAAAATATTAAAAATAAATAATTACATAAGTAACAATAAGGTAGGATTCTTCACGGGTTAGTTTTAATTTTGATAATTGTTAAAAATTATAGTTATAAATTAATAGAAAAAAATATTGAAAATAAATAATTAAAGAAATACCATTAGGGTTTTTAAGGGTTACCCAGCGTTTCTTTCTTTTATATATAAGATATAAGATATTATTAAAGGGTTTTAAGAATTATATTAAAAGTCTCTTGTAATAACACATGGCCCTCTGCAGATAGCATTCCAAAATCGAATATCTAACATCCTAAGAACATATCAAATTGCAAAAGATTAGTCTAAAAAAGAAGTATTTCAACAACTACTGATTCACAAAAAAAATTCCAACACATGCAAAATATTGCACAATAATGAAAGTTTATTTAGTGCATTTGGATGATTGGTTTGTAGGTTCCTATATTTAAAAAAAAATAGCCCAACGGAAGGTTATATTGATAAAATAACATTTTTATGTTTTATGAAGAAGGAATTCGTAGTGAACGATATAAATGCACTGAATAAACATGTGCTCTCGGCATTAATAGTTTGCGAACCCCAAAAAGAGATGTAATTCACACTAAACATTAGCCATACGTGATAAGCTCAAACTAGTAAGTGTTGGCAATGGGATTCGAACTCGAGATGTTTTAATGTTTGCGCTCTCTTACTCCACCAGCTACGTCACCCTTACATCAACAATGACGTATTTATTTTCCAAATTAATATTACTACGCCACAATTAAATACCTAAAATCCTAAAATCACATTCGAACGATTAGTCAAAAAGGAAATATTGCGATTACTATTACTTCAATAAAAAGTGCAAGTAAAGTGATTGACGGATTAACAGAATATTAAATTATCACGAGTTTCAGATCGTGTATTCCTACAATCCTAACCACCACGGAGTAACCAAATATCAAAAATCGCAAAAAGCAAATTCAAGTAATCGAAATCCTCGACCGAGCGAGACCACTATAAATATGTGTGCTAAGTGCAAGAGAATGTCATAGGTCAAAACACAACACATTTTTATCATCAAATAAGTTATGTTTTTGTAGGTCTAAGGTTAAAAACACTATACATTGATTGAGTGTTTTAGTGTGAATTCAACATATATAAATATATGCATGGCAAAATAGTAATTTTGGTGGTGTGAGCTGCATTTGGTCAATTGTTTTTTTTTTTTTAAGGTGTGATGGATTTGTTCAAAGCTCATAAGGAGGCTGAAACCACCTTGTCCAATTGCTTACAAACCACGTTTCTTTTAAAAGTATTTATTTGCCTTATGATCCTCATGTTGTTTTTCTCTTTCTAAATTTCTCACTTTTCCCCTTAGCCTTTTTTTTTCTTCTTCTTCTTCTTATTCTGTTTCTCTAACCTCATAATATTTTCTTGATTTGGTATACTTTTTTCCCTCTTTTCTGTTTTGTCTACAACCCCTTTTTTCCATTTCTGGATTCTAATCGTATACACCGATTGTTATCATTTCTTCGTTTTTTCTCGAAAACAAAAAAAAAAAAATCGATGATGGATAACCGAAATCATGAAGAAGTTAAAAGCGACGACGGTTTGATAAATTTGCCTCCCGGTTTTCGATTCCATCCGACCGACGAAGAGCTGATCACTCAGTATTTGTCGAAGAAAGTTGTCGATAGTCGTTTTACTTGTGTTGCTATCGGGGAGGTGGATATGAACAAAGTTGAACCATGGGAATTGCCATGTAACTACTTTTTTTTTCCTTTTCTTATTCTTTTTGTTGATTAATTCTTATTTGTGTATTTATTTGTTTGGTTGATCATTTGAATTTAAGGGAGAGCAAAACTTGGGGAGAAGGAGTGGTATTTTTTTTGTATAAGGGACAAAAAATACCCGACCGGGCAGCGAACGAACCGAGCCACGGCGGAAGGGTACTGGAAAGCCACCGGAAAAGACAAAGAGATTTTCCGGGGAAAATCGCTCGTCGGAATGAAGAAAACCCTAGTCTTCTACAAAGGCAGAGCTCCCAAAGGTGAGAAATCCAATTGGGTTTCTCATGAATACAGATTGGAAGGCAATTTCTCCATTCTTAACCTCCCCAAATCATCCAAGGTAATTTAATTAATTAATTAATTATTAATTCAAATTAATTCAATTAATTGATGATCAAATTAATTAATTTTTTTTTTTTTTATTTCTGGGTAGAGCGATTGGGTGATTAGCAGAGTGTTTCAGAAGGCAATTGGTGGGAAGAAAGTGCACATATCAGGGCTGATGAATAACAATCAATTATTCGATAATTCTTCGACACTTCCGCCATTGATGGATCCAGCAGTGAGGCCCGGCGGCGGCGAGCCGCCGGGCCTCGTGCACTGCTTCTCCGCCGCAGTCGGCGGAGAAGCAGCGCACGAGAATTTCATGGCGGATATACTCAACAACCCGATTTTCCCATCTTCTTGTTCTTCCAATCCGATGGATTCGTTTCAGACATTTCCCAGCTGGGCCCAGTACCAGTACCCGGTTCAGCCCGGGTTGCAGTATCCGGGTTCGGGTTCGGATCCGAGGACCCGGTTTGCCAATTATTCAGAAGAGAGTCCAATGGGAACTGAGAATAAGGTATCTGGAGAAGATGAAGAAGATGCTGATGCAATTGGGCCACAGGATTTGGACTCTATGTGGCGGTATTAAGAATTTTTTATTTATTTATTTTATATATATTTATTATTATTAAACAAAAAAAAAAAAAGAAGAAAAAAAATTAATGATAGAAAATTTTAAGGAGGTAGAAAATTATAGAGCTACAATTTTTTTTCTTTTTTTTTTAATAGTGTGTCATGAGGACAATGATTGTGTGTGCATAGAATTTCTTAAAAGATTTATGGTTTGAGGATATGACATGAAAAGTTACTTGTATCACTTATTAGTTTATGGTTTGTTTTTCTTTTCTTTTTTCTTTTTTCTTATGTTATGTTATGGGTTTATTTTATGTGTAGTGAAGTTAATGAGGTGATATTCAATTGTATGTGTGAGTATGTCTCGTTTGGTTGGCAAGATAAAATTAATCAAGATAAGATTAAATAATCCAATGAAACCCAATTATTTTATTGGAGCTTGCAACGTCAACAAAAAAAAATTTAGAAGGCAAGATAAGCCATGATTATATAATTTTGGCGGATCGACCCGACAATTTATTGAGATACCAAACATCAAATAAAGTCTTATTATTTAATTAATCATGGCTTATCTTGGCAACCAAACGAAGCCTTAATGTATGGTTCATATACAATTTATATGGGCTTCATCTCACTTTGCACCCTGGAAATATAACGTTTTGACAATTTGCACACTCGAATTTTTTTTATAGCACTTTGCATTCTTGAAACACAATAAAACATGAATAATGCACCATTGAAACACAATAAATCATGTATTGCACCCTCCAAAGACAATGAAATATGTATAATGCACCCTTGAAACACAATAAAACATGCATAATGCACATGAATGAATTTTTAAAGCTAATGAAAATAATTTAATATTGTTTTTAATTTTTTAGTGCTATTTTTTTAGGATGTCAAATCTAATCAAGTTTTTTATTCATTAATCCTTTCAAAATTAAAGAGTGCAAAAATAAAAATACATCTCATCAATATACTTATTTTTTTTTTTACAAAAAATATCCTTAAGCTATTTAAGTATCAAATTATTTGAAAATTATATTTCTTCCAAAGATTTCTACCAAACATTTTCACTAATTATAATATAAAAATCCATCAATCGAATAATTTAATCAATTTTTTTTTTCGTAAGTAAATATAGTTTCATCAGTAATTCTTTGTCATTTTTTTGTTTTTTCCGCATTTTGTATGCTCGGAATTATATTGGGATGGAAAAAAATAATAGTTTAATTTGTTATTTGCACCCTAAAATAAAAAATACAAAAACAAAAAAAAACCTAATAAAAAATTAAATTACCTCATTAAGTTTGTAATATTCAATTCATGGTACATTGTAGACGATTTATTGTATTTCGTGGGTGCAAAGTGCTAAAATGCCACATTTCAATAGTGGAAAGTGGAATATGTGTTCTTGTATGTATATTTATAAATATATGCTACACAGCGTATTTCATCCATTGCAGAAATTGCAATATAACTAATTTTATTTTAAATGATGATTTTTTTTTTATAATTAAGATTATAAGAATGAGTTGTCAAATTGCTAGTGTTGAGGTTTGATGACATATGAGTGATCAAGCTGGTGGCTAACTGATAATCTCTCTTGTTTTATATAGTCTTTTTATTTATTTATTGAGTCTTTTATTTATTTATTATTATTTATTGAATCTAATTTTAGTGGCAGGGGATTGAATTAAAGGGTTACATCATCGAAAAACATGACCTTAATTATTGACCTTCTTTTAATTCATCCAAGAATTATTTGGTTTTTCTTATTTGTTTTTTTGTTTAATATGTGGGGCTCAAAGTCACCACATTGTAAGATCATATTAATCTTATTAATTAATTGATTGCTATAAAATTAGAAGAATTAGTACCCACCATTGTATTATTAAAATAAATATTTAGTGTTCGAATTTTGCCACTCCCCCTACTTTAATATTTGTAATAGCTAGGAATACAGTTGAATTATTTTAGGAAAATACGAGATAGTATGATCCTTTTGAATGAATTTGATTCATCTTGATATATTATTAATCAAAGTATAACTTTGTATTTAGTTGTTTAGTTTGAAACCCGATATCGTATAAGGACCCGATTACCTATCAAACGATATACTTGATAATGGAACTAGTCTCGACGATGAGAACTGAAATTCACTAGTATAATATATAGGGATAGTTACATTTTTTGTACTAGTTTTAATTACACTTAAATTGTTTTATTTTTTTCTAATTCAAATACGGTTACAATTTAGAAAAGTAGGGGCCCGAAATTCAAGATTCTGTTTATTTTATTTTATTTTTAATTTAGAAGTGATTCCACACTCTAAAGAATTAACTAAGGTGGTGTTTGCAAATGTTATTTAAAAGCAGGAGTTAGTGATTGTGGTTTAAGTTAGTTTTAAGTGTTTATTTCTAAAAGTTGGGGGTGTTTGCAAATATTTCGGAAAATGAACTAAAATTTAAAAAGCAGGGTTAGAGGTGCTTTTAAAAAAATAGCTTAAAGCAGATTATTTTAAGAGAAGCAAAAGCAAAAGTTGATTTTGCAAACACCTAAAAACAGATTATGAGCAAAAAAAACTGCATAATCACTTTCAAAAAGCATTTGCAAACACCACCTAAGTACTTCAAATTATAGGAAGTTGGCTTCTTAAGAATAAAGCTTGTAATTCAAATCATGTGTGGGAGTTGTTAAATTGAATTTCGTATTTATCCAAGTTTTGTAAATAGTTTATTTTCTCTACTTTGTTTCAATTTATCCATGATGACTTTGACCAATTTGTGATATGCTATGTTGAAGTAATTGACCAATTGCTTGGATAATTAGAATTGTGGATAGTTGAGCATTCGAGTTAGTACTTTTATCAAATTAAATTAGGTGTACTTTGCGTGAATATAGAATATACAGGTAAATTACAATCACCCTCTGTGGTATGGTCAAATTACGAAATCTTCCTCCTGTTTGGGTAATTACAACCACCCTCTCAACTATAAAATTTAGTGAAATCTTATAGATTATATGGAATATTAACACTTTTCTACCCATTTTAACCCATTCGAACTCCACATTTTGATGTAAGATGATTATAATATGTGTTTTTTGGCTTGTATTTATATCAGATTTTGGTGCATCAGAAACTGTATTTTTAGGCACATGTTGAATTGATTGAGCACATTAGGATTGTAAATCACTAATTGCGATGGATGATTATAATTAATTCCGTGTTCTCAGCTATTAAACAATTCATTAACTTACAAAGCTAATGTTTGTTAGTTAATTGACTATTTTCTTTCTACACATTTCTTGATATCTACTGGCGAAGTGGTTAACTAAGTCGACTACTTAGTCAATAATTATGACCGGCTAATTATTTTTCATATTTTTAGACTTCCATTGATGAAGTAGTCGACTAAATTAATTAACTATTTTTTTTCCTACATGTTCTTTAACACAGTATGAGATAGAAGGATCTTCTATTTACCGATTCAATTCGAGTTTTCAGCTTAGGAAAATTCTGATTTCACGTGACTTGTCGATTTTTTGACGATTTATCGTTACTTTATGCGATTCGTTCGATTTTTCTATGATTCACAATTCATCTTCTTTCTTAATGTTAAAAACAGTAGCATCAATCACATAAATGAATTATATAAGAAAAAGTTTGGTCAATCTTAAATTTTATCAAGTACAATTTATTTGGAGCAACGTCATGTCAATTTTTATTGTTTCTAAATATATTTAATAAATAAGGATAAGGATTTAGGTAAAATTTATGACTGCAATCCGTCAAACTTTAATTAAAAAAAATTATAAATATTTCGTAAGCTCATATAATTATATATTTGCATTTATATATTGTTTCTTTCACAACTCACAATTATCTAATTGTAGCTATATATAGTTTCTTTTTAAGTGTTTTTATTTATTATATCATTACAATAAACTCTTACTATTGCTCAATTTAGCAAAATAATTTTCGATTAGATTTGTGATTTAACAAATAAATATTGTCTTGTCGGATAACATCAAAATTAATTTGAAACAGAATAAATGTCTATTCAATTTGGTAAAATGTCAATTTCTGTTAATTCTTAGTATTGCCACGTGGATATGGCGCCTGAGGTTGGACACGTCAGCACATTTTTAAGTACAGTGAAATCTAGGTGAAAATTTTCAGGTATGTACTATTAAGCATCACATTTATATATATTCAATCTAGTGTTCTAAAAATCTGTTGAAGCGTCCGATTAATCGGTCTTCGAGGCGGAGGCGATTCAAAACCTTTACGATTTTAGTGTAAACGTTTGAAAAATCGTTTTTTTGCCTGTAAGGCGGGTTAAGGGGGTCAAACCTTTAAGGCGGGTCAAACTTTGATGGCAAAAATCGGCCAAAAATCGGGTTGTTTTTTTTTTATTTTTTTTTTTATTTTTTATTTATTTATTTTATTTTATACTTCAAAATAAAAGTTGGGATTTTAATAAAAAAAAATATGAGTTTATGCTATATTTTGTTTTATGTTCACTGTTATTGTTAAAGAACTAATGATGTATGTTTGGAATGTTCAAGAATAAATGTAAATTCAAAAAAATTGCCTTTTTATTTATAATTTATAAGGATATTTATGTATTATGATCTTATTATTATTAAACTTTTATTATGTTATTAGGATATATACATGATGGAGATATAACTATGTTTAAATATTGTTTTATATATATTTTGAGTATTTATAAATAATATCTGGAAATATATTATATTAAATTTTAAAAATCGATTTATTTTTCGGTTTCGTTTGCAAGGTATTATACAAGAATGTAATGTAGGTTTACCCAATGCATTCATATGGTTGATTGTCCATCATTCATTACTCATTACCAAAAAAGAAAAAAAAATTACAAGAGATTCATTCGTCGGGTTAATTATCAAAATTGCACAAGCATTTGATTGCAGATTTGCTATTCAAGTGTAAGAAATTAGATACCTTTCATAATCCACCAATGATCTTATCTTATATATGAAATATATATATATATACATACACATAGATATATATATATCAGTCTCTACAAGGAATTCTGTTATATATATATATATATATATATATATATATATAGTAGGACATCCCTAAGCTATTATAATGGTATTTTGTTTATTATTATTTTTTTCTCTACTAATTTTCTAATTATTAAAAATTCTAAATTAAAATCAAACTGTGTGGAATTCTTTCAACATCAA